CGTTTCTCACGTTTTGATCAAGGTTTTGACACGTTTTGCGCGTTCTGTCAAGACTCTCCATGGATGAAACGTGGACGCCGGCCAGCTTTGGACAACGTTTGTGCCCATGCACGGTATAAAAAAATAAGGCCTCACAAGCAGTAGCAGCCATTGTATCCTGACACACAAGAGCAGCATGAACCCCCAAGATGAAGAAGATTTTGTGTTTGTATGTTTGCTATATGTTTACATCGAGTCCTTGCGTCAGCAAGAAGGCCAGCATCAGCTGCAGAGAGGAAATGCCAGAGAACGCAACGTGCCGTATCTCGCCCGCCATGTAAACCGTAACACGTCTGGATGTCCCGTGATAGAACGTAGAACATACAACCTAGCTTGCCGTTAGAACCGGGACAAAACGGGCAACAAGTTTTTAACAAACCGTGACAACACGCCAAACAAACGTGGCCGAACCTGACAAAACTTGAAAGGACCGTGAGATGCTGGGAATATGCATGCCTCCCGTTCCACTACGGACCCACTATGGGCCGTCTACAAGTTTCGTTACGGTTTATTATAGGCTGTTTGCAGTGAAAACGTACCGATTAATTTCACTTTAAACAAAAACGTAAATCAAATTAAGTGAAATTAAGATTGCGAATCCTCATAATTTTACCTTGCCAATTGAACATTTGAATCTCAAAATTTTATTCAAATTAGGATAAAAATTGTTTAACAAACGATCATAGATTCAAATCGCTAGTACGGGTTTGTATTACAAGGGGGTAAGCGCAGTAGTTGGAACAGTGAAACAAATGCACGTGCGGTACGTGAAGAGCATTAACTTATAACAACCCTTGTCATTTTCGGTGTTTCATTTGATGTGCATACCCCCTTGTAATGCAAACCAATAATAGCCATGTGAAACATGGATCGTTTGTTAAACAACTTTTATCCTAAGTCGAATAAAATTCTGAGATTTATATAAATGTTCAATTGGCAAGGTAAAATCATGAGGAATCGCAATCTTACTTTTTGGTTTAAAGTGACATTCATCGGTACGTTTTCACTGCAAACAAACTATATGTGCTGTCACGTTTTGTTGCGTTACCCCCGTTTTTCTACGGCCTACTAGGTTTCTCATTAGTACCGTGACTGTCGTGACAAATTTTTGAACAGTTTTAAAATCTGGCACGGCATCCACGGCAACCACAGACCGTCACGTTTGCTCATTCAGTCCCCCCACGTTGTCTCACGTCCATCCCGTATTGTCCCCGTTTCAGCATTACCAAGGTCATCATCGTTTTAACCACAATCATCATAAATTGACTTCAACTTGCTGGAGATTTATTTGTAACTAATCTAAACGTGACTGGGATTTGCTTGGGTTGTCCATCAGGAATCCTTATTGATGAATGGTGGACAGCGTTAGTACAGGGCGGTCAAACTGTGACCCATAATTCTTTAATAACACTTTGCTCTGAGACGTCACTGCGCCAACTGTATCTAATTTACCGAGCATCGTTTAATTTTAGGTGTCTTTTTGTTTATAAGTTATGTAAATCTGATTCCATATTTTGTTAACTAGAAGGTCATCTAAGTTGCCTCCATCAAACTATAGTCCGTTTGGCTCAAAAGCGGACCGATGAATTGCAATCTAACTCGAAAACTAATAAACATAACATACTCAATGAAACGCTGATCATAATCAAAACATCATACCCACTCTGTGAGGTTTTTGCAGAATTTTGTCCTAAAAATAATAAAGTTGCTTAACAAACTATCATTAAAATATTGACACAGTTCACTATTTGTTACGAGGGAGGAGTGCAGAGAAAGGGACAGCCAGGTGTTCGAGAACGGATGGAGACGGCACAGCACAGGTTAATGAATAAATAACTTTGTCTGTGAACGTGCTTCTCGAACACCTGGCTGTCCCTTTCTCTGCTCTCCTCCCTCGTAACAAACAGTGAACTGTGTCAATATTTTAACGGACTGTACTCATAAATTTTTAATCGAAACGGTGAGACATTTGCTTTGATATGATAGTATGGTTAAAGTTCATAAATTTGGACCGAACGTGAGTTCATGTGAACAGAGCGTCAGCCCTGAGTAAGTGGCCGTTGGTTCCATCCCTTGGTCGCATGTCACCAAAAGATGTTGTCACTTGTTGTTACTATGTCTTGATCTCGGCGGTGAATAAGCAAGTATAGGTCGCTTCCGAGTCGGTATGTTGTGTGGAAGTGGTGGTGGTGGTGGAATTGGGTTTAATGTCGTGCTTGAGAATATTTCGCTCATATGACGACGTGCATGCGTGTGTATGTGTATGTGCGGCTGCTTGTACTAGCCCAGACTTAGGCTGGTTTTATAGTGCTAGCTCACTGAGATACCATGCCGAAGTGAAGCATGAATACCCCACTCAGACACATTTTACTGACTCCGAGCCGACCAGTCCTTGGTGTACCCATTAATGCCGAGCGCCAGGCAGGGACCAACAAGTACCATATTTTAACGTCTTTTGGTATGACGCGGTCGGGGATCGAACCCGCGACCTTCCGCACTCCGGGCAGACGCTCTAACCACTACACCACGGAGGCGGTCTTTGTGTGGAAGTGGATTAGCCAGGTCAAACTGTGGCATCTAGGAGGGCTAGAACATGCACATGCACATGCACGTCCACACGCAAAGGCACGCTTATTAGGAGATGTTTGCAAGCATGGGAAGATGGCGACGTGGCCCATGAAGTTCCTGGTTAGAACTGGTCTAACGGGTGTGGTCAGGCTCGCTGAGTTGGTTGATGCATGTCATCGTGTCCCATTTATGCAGATTGATGCTCATGATGTCGGTTACTAGATAGTCTGATCCAGACTCGATTATTTACAGACGGCTACCATATAGCTGGAATACTGCCCGATATGACGTTAAACAACGAACTGAAACCCCATAGTGCAAGAGTAATGGAAGTTCATTAGGATGCTTTGATGTGAATACATAGTAGTACTAACATTGGAATACATTACGTAAACTTCTCACTTAACGCAAAGTGAAAGTGTTGTCAATAAATGATCAAAATGAAAGAGTTCTGCTGCTATTATTAGTAAACTTCTGCAGTCATTGATAGTGAGAACTCTGCAGCCACTGATGGTAAGAAATCTGCAGCCATTAATACTGAATGAGTGAGTTTAGTGTTACACCGCTTTTAGCAATATTGCAGCAATATCACGACAGGGACACCAGAAAATGGCTCCACACATTGTACCCATGTAGGGAATCGAACCCGGATCTTTGGCTTGACGAGCTAACGCTTTAACCACTAGGCTAAACACCACCACCCATTGATAGTAAGCAGTCTGCATGCAACAACTGGAGTCTGGACCAGACAAGCCAGAGATCAACAGCATGAGCATCGATCCTGTAAGGGAGGGAGTGAGTTTAGTTTTACGCTCAATTGGGAACCGATCTGACCAGTCAATCCAAGTCAAATTAGCAAGCCTGACCACCCGATCCCGTTAGTCGCCTCTTACGACAAGCATAGTCGCCTTTTGTGGCAAGCATGGGTTGCTGAAGACCTATTCTACCCCGGATCTTCACGGGTCAATTAATAGTGAGACTTCAGGAACCATCGATAGTACTTCTGCAGCCATACTGCAGATATAAATAGTAAGAATTCTGCAGCCATTGATAGCATGATTCTGCTGCCATTTCTAGTAATATCTCTGTTGCCACTGATAGTAGAGTCAGGGTGATAAAGGTCAGCAGTTTTGTCCAAATCGATATTCGCTTCCACACCAAGTTTTGCATGTTTGCTGTTCTGGGCAACTTTCAGTAAGATTCCAGTTAAATGACCACAGGCTATAAATATAGTGGTGTCAGAAAATTCTGTAGATGATTGGGAGCTATATTCCATACCTACACAATCAACCAGGTCACTACACAATCTACCAGGTCACCACAAATCTACCAGGTCACTACACAATCCACTACACAATCTACCAGGTCACTACACAATCAACCCGGTCACTACACAATCAACCAGGTCACTACACAATCTCCCAGGTCACTACGCAATCTACCAGGCCATTACACAATCTACCAGGTCACTACACAATTAACCAGGTCACTACACAATCTACCAGGTCACTACGCAATCTACCAGGTCACTACGCAATCTACCAGGTCATTACACAATCTACCAGGTCACTACGCAATCTACCAGGCCATTACACAATCTACCAGGTCACTACACAATTAACCAGGTCACTACACAATCTACCAGGTCACTACGCAATCTACCAGGTCACTACGCAATCTACCAGGTCATTACACAATCTACCAGGTCACTACACAATCTACCAGGCCACTACACAATCTACCAGGCCACTACACAATCAACCAGTTCACTACACAATCTACCAGGTCACTACACAATCAACCAGGTCACTACACAATCAACCAGGTCACTACACAATCAACCAGGTCACTACACAATCAACCAGGTCTCTACACAACTACCAGGTCACTACACAATCAACCAGGCCACTACGCAATCTACCAGGTCACTACGCAATCTACCAGGTCACTACACAATCTACCAGGCCACTACACAATCTACCAGGTCACTACACAATCAACTAGTTCACTACACAATCTACCAGGCCACTACACAATCAACCAGGTCATTACACAATCAACCAGGTCACTACACAATCTACCAGGTCACCATACAATCTACCAGGCCATTACACCATCAACCAGGTCACCAGGCTACACTCAAGATGGTTTTGTCACGCTTCAGTGAGCAATATCACCATGGCCTGCCAATGATGGCATCTGGGCCAGATAAACCAGTGATTAATAGTATGAGCAACAGCCCTCAACAAAAACCAAGTCACCTCATGACAAATATATGTCAGGGTCTGAATTTCCAAAATCATTGTCGGAAATGCTAGACATATGGACTCTGATACAGAAAGTACTTGGACTGTATAATGTGGATCTTGGGCTAAACGAGAACAAACTTTCAATTGATTGACTGTCATGTCTTGCATCTCGGACATCAACACTTTTTTATTCTTTGTTGTTCTTATGTTGTGATCCATAAAACATGTCATGTATTCATGTTCATCCAACTTCTAAATGCCTTTCAAAAACAACACTTTAGATATCAGATCGCAAAGAATTCAAACAGCCTGTAAGATACTTTATTCCACTAACAATCACCGGTATAATTAAAAACATATTATATGTTCAAATACACAACAGTGTAACACTTATCCTCATCATCTGATATCAAACTATTTTCAAATTGTGTCTAAGGCCAGACCAATTTTATTTCTTGTTTTACAGATCCGCCGGTCTTATTTTTTCAAGAATAAGAAAAAAAATTTAAATTAATTTTACCCGCTCCCAAAAAAATCCTCATGTTTATATTGGCAAAGAATGTAAACTTACAAAAAAAGTGTTTTTGATTGTTTTTTTGCCTCATATACACTTCATAACTTGCCAAAAATAAAATACTTTTAGTATGCAAAAGGAATATTACTTTGGTGATATTTATTTTTTATGTTTTTCCCTCCTGCCTTTAGGTTTTCTGAGGGCAAAAATCCGTAAAACAAGAAATAAAATTGGTCTGGCCTAATCATGGAATTTTCAAACCCTACCCTCAGTACATATGCACTATTATTTGTTAGCATAATTTGTTAGTTGTTATTTGACTATCCTTATTGACCAAATCAATAGTCTGAACGAAAACTGGGCCTTGTCTATGGTACAATAAATATTATTTATAAATATTATTTATATGCCATATCTACTGGAAACAAACATGTACATATTTCCATCAAACATCATAATGTCTAAAATAGCAATTTTCATGGATGGATAATATCAAAAGTCTACTGACGTGAGCATTGCAAAATAATATGTGGGTGGTTAGCAGCTAAACATTCATTGAAAACACCCTGGCCAACAGATCACATCAATCTGAAACATCTTTTGCAAGAAACATTTTCTGTAGAAGTAACGTGAAAATTTCTCCAGAATATCTCAGCTGCACAAATTGTAAATATTTATAACATCCTTTTAGCTTCAGGGTACGCAAATTAAATACTGACTTAGTCACTGCCAGACAAAAAAAATACAAAACTTGCAACGATGCACATGCCCATTACAATTCCAGCTACGATGGTGTCACAGTAAATAGTCTGAATCATATTTCTTCCCCATCAATGTATTAAATAGTAAACATTAGTGATCTTTGATTACCTGTGATATTGGTTCCAGATAAGGCTGGATAAAGGGTTTTGAATCATCATTTGAGTTGGCCTCTTTAAGAACTTTTCTGGGAAAACCACATCTTACCTACAACTTTTAGAGAACACATCTGATTACGTTAATGAAAACAGTAAGAAGGGTTTGATATGTATGACACTACATTTACTTAAATTAAAACACTGTTGTTTCTCACCATTGTTTTATGCAACAACCATTTTATACATAATATTAGTTACACAGTGTCTTGAAAGGGTTACAGGATTGTAAGACCAGAATACAGAATTTATTCCGCTATGATTTTCCCTGAACGGTCACAAAGGGAGATAACTCATGATGGCTTAGTTTATGATAAAAATTATCGAATTTGAGGTTTTGTTAAATGACAAATATATATACTTTTATTGACACAAACAAATAACATATTATGACAACAATTTTATTACTCTCTTTATACTCATAATTGTATACACCAACTCTAAAATTTCAAGAGATCAGAATTTTGGCAGCCACATTCCATCTAAGGTCAAGGTCATTTACTGAACCAGAGTAGTGTGTCATATGACAGAATTGACAGCGTGTACACTTCGTACACCCAGGCAAATCCGCTTACATGATTTCGTATGCTTTGGCTATAGACCAATCAGAATTCGACAAATTTATCTTACGGGTAATGACATGGAACAAAGGTCTGGTAACATGATATTTTCCTTGTGCATGGTGTAAGTGCTATTTCATGTACTGGTATATTGTGCCCAGTCTAAATTACATCATGTCATGGGTGGTGAACAAAAACACTTTGTAAATGAAAATAGGAAACTATTTCTTAAAATATAATAATATGTTCTGTGGACAATTCGATTTAGATATTTCAAAAGGAATGTGTGTTTGGGCAATACTATGTTTTTTACACCCTGTGAGTCATTCTCCAAATGCAACAGACTGAAGATCTCTCCAGGTCTTCTACACAACAAACTGCTATCCCTGAAGTTACATATGGTATGCTTCATACCACAGCTTACCCGACCTTTTCAGTGATCTGCAAGAAGAAGAAGCATTCATAAAATCTACACAAAACACTATGTATTAATTTTTTCTCTCCAGTGCACAAGGCTGGTAACTAAAACAAACCTTGCATCAAAGTGTATATGGTCACTATCAGTGAATTGTTCCTTTATGCCTCAGACAGCAATATTCCAACTGTACTCATGGTGGTCTGTAACTAAACCAGGCAACCAGTTTCTAATAATCAGGGCTCATGAACCGTTCCAGGAAACAATCTATAATGATCATAAGCTAATGTTATAGAGGATATTATATGAGTGCCCATGTCATACTTTGTTTACAACATGAGTGCCTGAATGTTGGTATTTCCCGAGCAAGAGCGAGGGATGTACCGATATTTAGGCACAAGTGTCGTAAACATAGTATGATATGGGCACTCATATAATATTCTGTTTATTACTGAAGACGTCAAATTGAGGAAAATAACCCAAATCTACATTCAAACATAGGCTGGCTACCGCTGTCGCCGTGTGTAGAACACAACGTCACAAAAGAAACGTGACGTCATAGCATTGTACATGATGTCACGTCACCATGACAAAGTGATATTTTGACCTAGGACATCATATGAAAAATATTAACCCCGATATTTTTGCCCTCGTAGGTAATATTAAGTGTTTATACATGTTTGTCAACTGATGTAATGTAACATGGAGGATAATCCTTTCAGAGGTGTTAGTTTGTCTGCCTACTCACCCTATGATGTCTGCATATGCCTTGAAGAGCGGCTTGGACTCGTACTTAAGGCCATGTTTTTCACAGAGGGATTTACATAGCGGCGCCACTGTGTGGTAGTTGTGGCGAGGCATTGTCGGGAATAAACTGAAACAAAGAATTCATCACAGGATACCTTTGACTTGTTTTGTGCAAAATTCCAACAAAGAACATGGCGGTGGGGTAGCCTAATCGTAAAGCGTCCGGTTGTCACGCTGAAAGACCCGGGTTCGATTCCCCACATGGGTACAAAGTGTGAAGCCCATTTCTGGTGTCCCCTGCCGTGATCTCATTGGAATATTGCTACAAGCAGCGTTAAACCATACTCACTCACTCACTCACTCCTACAAAGAACAACAAAAAGAACCCTCCTAACTTCAGCTAAGCAAAAATACATAACACTGCCAACTTCCAATAAAGAACAAAAGTAAGTCAAACTAATACAGCCTCGAACTGCCTTGAGTGAATAAGGTCTCTGTGACTGAGGATAGACCTGATCTACTGGTTCAGCTGCAGTGTTAAAGAATTGGTACACAACAGAAGCATATATTTCATACACTCTTCAATTCCTGCTACAGAACCAAATTCACAAAGTTGGGCAGTCACGGAAGTGAACATAAAAGGACTCTAAATACTGACAGCAAACTCTTAATAATTTCCAGGCATCATTGCAAGGAGACTCATCAACTGACTGATAGTGGATAAACAAGAAGAAGAACTTAGTGTTTTTTAATGTGCTCTAATTTAAAGTTGGTACATTCAGTTTAGAGGTTTTTTCTATTTTGGGCTTATGTCTGAACATATCTTAATTATTCAGGATTTCAAGTTAGAAAAGTCGGGCCCGAGAAACATGTAAGTTTGAGAGAGTTTTTCATTTTTTTCCCTTTTTTTTTACTGTAGCTGAGGGAGGCTGGGCTAGTTTGCATGCTGAGCAATGGCTGATCTGGAAGCATTCTGAGTTTGGTCCAGTCAAAGCATAAGCAACAGTCAATGCAGCCACCTTGGTAATGCATTGTCAGTACATTAAACGAAGCATGAATACATAAGAATATATTATATTAAACACTTCTGGCAAAAACTGACTTACTGATGTTCTATCTGAAAGTTAAGATGGCCGCTGAACCAGTCGTTGAAAGCTGATTGGTCCACGTTGCATGTGGCCTGTAGTTGCATAGTAACCCAGTCACGGTTATGGTCCTTGTCGACCTCCATAGGAATGTGGTTCATCTGGGTGTTCCACACAAACCAGTGGCTCTCAAAAAACCTTTACATGAAACAATAAAGACGATGATTCCTGTGGCTCTCAAAAAACCTTTACATGAAACAATAAAGACGATTATTCCTGTGGCTCTCAAAATACCTTTACATGAAACAATCAAAGACGATTATTCCTGTGGCTCTCAAAACCTTTACATGAAACAATCAAGACGATTATTCCTGTGGCTCAATCAAGAATTGTTCCTGTGGCTTTTTACATGAAACAATCAAGACGATTATTCCTGTGGCTCTCAAAAACCTTTACATGAAACAATAAAGACGATTATTCCTGTGGCTCTCAAAAAATCCTTTACATGAAACAATCAAGACGATTATTCCTGTGGCTCTCAAAAAACCTTTACATGAAACAATCAAGACGATTATTCCTGTCCACTTTATTATTCGGATTTACCAAGAAAGAATGAGTTATGACAAAGTCCTTTTCATGGACCACTAAACTGACAATTCAATGAACATGCACAAACATGAAGCCATACTTTTCTAACAGTACATAGTTATTGTTAAGTTACACACAAAGAGAAATGATTTTTGGAAGTTCAAGGAAAATGGAGTCAAACCTGCCCAAGAAAAATATTTTCCTCAAATGACTTCCCTGTTCAGAATACATTTCCTAAAATATAGCTTGACTAAAAGTTCATGCTTCTTTCACAATGTTTAAGTCATACTACTGGATTTGATAATTAACAGCTCAAGAGTCTGAAAGTGGGGCATGGGTGAACCCATTCATCTAAGGCACCACCATTCAATGTGAAGAGTTGTGCCCCTTGAGCAAGCCAGAATCCTATGATTCTTGGTTTGAATCCTGGTTCTACCCACTTAGGTTTCTAGGCTTTTCAGATCCATAACCGAGCTCAAGGGTTTCACCAAAGTCTGGGACTTGCCCCACTTCAAGCATTTCTCAAAAAGATGAAACATCTTACAAAGTGGCACAATAACCCAACTCCCTCAATTCAACTTTGAAACTGTAAAACTGTTGTCATCTGAACTCATTCAGTGACTTTCAGGACAGATCTGTTTAACTATTTTCAAAATATGAAATTTTAGTTCCAGTGGACCTTCATGTTTTTTTGTGCCTTCACATTCCAAGATATGCTAAGCTCACCTGACAAAGAAGAAAAGACCAAATATCCCTAGCACGCTGATGAAAGGGGAGAAGATTATGTGCCATCGGAGAAAGAACGTTCCCATCCAGAACAGCTCCTGTTAAATCAATAGGAAACAATGCATCAAACAGGAATCTCAGAACTGAAAACAAGTCAGACAACATGTTAGTTGTTTTAATAACAACATTGATGATCAGAGATCGATTCTAGACAAGGGTGAATGAGTGAAGCCAATTTCTCGTACCCAATCTGGATCTACACTATACCTCTGGCTACATGTGATTGTCATAGAGTTAAGCCAAACAGATAAGCCATGATTTTGAATGGGTACCAGGTGGGATAGGTCATATGACTGTTAACCTTCTAGCGCCTCACAGGCAGCTTGGTTATCCAGGGTAATAACGTGTTAGCTTTGAGAATGCACAAGTGCGTGGTAACAGATGCTTTATAAATGGCCATTATTATTATTATTATTAAAAGCAGCATGAAACTCTACTAAGTCGGTCAGTTTTAATGACAAGCAGTATCAGACACAGTTATATTCCGTAATATCAGGGACACGATGCTTCGGAATATATTCTTAGTAATGAATGAGTAAGAATGTACTGAAGTTGACCCTTTATTTTAATTATCACCCTTTATTGATATTATGCATGATGATATTACATTTCTCTGAATGTCAGTGATAAAGAAACAACATTAGGCCAGACCAATTTTATTTCTTGTTTTACGAATCCGCCTGTCGTATTTTTTCAAATAAAAAAATTAAAAAATAATTAATTTTCCCCGCTCAAAAATTAAAATCCTAATGTTTTTATTGGCCAAAAGTGTAAACTTACAAGAAAAATGTTTTTAAATGTTTTTTGCCCCATATACACTTCATAAATTGCCAAAAGTAAAATGCTTTGAGTATTTTGAATATTACTTTGACTGGTGATTTTATTTTTATTTTGTCTCCCTCCTGCCTTTAGGTTTTCTGAGAACAAGAATCTGTAAAACAAGAAATAAATTTGGTCTGGCCTTATCAAGTTTTATTGCACAGGAAATTTTATATTTGAAAATTAATTTTGCCTCAAATGAACATTTTGTAAATTGAAAAGTCAACACCCTCAAATCTAAAGGCATTATAAGCATTTCCTATTCTGTATCTCACCATCCACTTGGCTCTAGAGATGAGGAAATAGACAATCTCAAAGTTGAAGTACAGGGGCAGCAACAGGGGCGGCATGACTGAAAACAGGAGAAAAATCATGGAATTGTTATAACATTGATTAGGGGCAGTGGGGTAGCCTAGTGGTTAAAGCGTTGGCTCGTCACACCGAAGACCCGGGTTCGAATCCCCACATGGGTACAATGTGTGAAGCCCATTTCTGGTGTCCCCTGCCGTGTTGTTGCTGGAATATTGCTAAAAGGGGCGTAAAACCAAACTCACTCAGTCAGTATAACATTGATTAGGTCTGTGGTTGAATGGGGTTCAGGTCTCCATTCTACCAAGCAATCGTAGAGCTAAGATGATCCTGACTCCCATACCTTAACATAGACTTACACAATTGTTGCGATATGGTTGTTTTGTACAGATTAGACTGTAATACAATGATTACACTGTGCCATTTCGGGTTCGATTCCCCACATGGGTGCAATGTGTGAAGCCCATTTCTGGTGTCCCCCGCCATGGTATTGCTGGAATATTGCTAAAATCGGCGTAAAACTAAACTCACTCACTCACTCTGTTAAGTCAGCTGATTTGCTGGTAAGTTTCACACTTATGAGTGAGTGAGTTTAGTTTTATGCCGCACTCAGCAGTATTCCAGCTATATGGCGGCGGTCTGTAAATAATCGAGTCTGGACCAGACATTCCAGTGATCAACAGCATGAGCATTAGTCTATGCTATTGGGATACGATGACATGTGTCAACCGCCCGATCCCATTAGTCGCCTCTTATGACAAGCATGGCTTACTTACAATTCTAACCCGGTGTAACAGGCCAAACTTTCCCCCTGGCCAAACCTTCCCCGGGGAAACTTTAGCCTAGGCCAAACTTTCCCCCCTATGCTAAATCTTCCCGGGAAAAGTTTGTCCTTGTCTAAACTTTCCCCACCCGTGAGGGTGTTTCCCATCCTTGTTCTAATATCAAAAGGGGGAGATTCTGGCCTAGCTAAGCTATTTCTTCTCCAACTTTTCATGTATATGTTTGTCTTGAAAAAGTCAGAAACAAAAACAAGACATAGCTATTCATGTGAACACATTGATAAGATATTCATGTTGATGTCAAGTTCCATTAAAAATTTACAGGTCATCTTCATCTTCATATATAACATGTACATGATGCTTGATTGGCATTTTAGAAGATCATATTTGATGAACATAGAGATTCTGATCTTCTTTTATTCTCCAGAGGGCTTGTTCTGGCCAGAACAATTCCATGATTTTTCTCCAGAACAAGCCCTGAAATGTTGTACTCGAGAATAAAAAGAAGATGTAACCCAGAAAAAATCTCTATGTTCAACATGTACATGGTTCCCATTTTGTTTCAATACCCTTCTATAAGGTGGGATTAAAAAGAAAAGCAAGCATAAAAGCAAAGATATTATATCATTACTATTGTTTTATATTATCATTTATTTATTTTTATATTTCAATAATTTACTTATCCCCACTTACTCAAAATTGGCTTATGTCAAAATCATTACTATGTTCGAAACTTTAGCTAAATACCCAGTTTTCACTTGGATGTCCAAATCCATTCAAAATTTTATTCACTCACTAATGGCTTTAAATATGGCATCCATGTTGGCGACATTAACTTAACAGTTGGAAGCAGATGTAAACATCAACACAACAACAACAACCCAACACAATATCTGTATCAAATGCTGTATCATCTATCATTCCACTATATTGCCTTATTCTATATTCAAAAGACAAGGTTTGATAAGGTGTATACTTGGCCCATGGATATCTGAATCATATTTCATTCACCCAAAGTGATTATGGATTAGTAAACAAGCTTATGTAAATAATGTTCCATTACATTTATACATAAATACAACAAATATTAGATGATTAACAGCATAAGAGAGCAAGCAACCTGTGTTTATTACATCTTATTTACCCATCAAATGTGCGATTGAATGTTTACGTCTTATGGTGGACAGATGAAGAACTAATGCAATGTGTCTTCATAGGAATGGCAGCAGGAGCAGGACAGATTTAGAGATAAATGCCGTTCAAACATGTATGCATTCAAATCACTACACCCAAGTCAGAGGCAAACATGGACTATTTAGCAAAAATGTGTACCAAAATATAAGTCAACCCTACTGTCGGTTTATAAGAGCAAGGGTTGGGAAGAAGTAGCCTAGCTAGGCCAGAATCTACCCCTTTTGATATAAGAGCAAGGGTGGGGAAGAAGTAGCCTAGCTAGGCCAGAATCTACCCCTTTTGATATAAGAGCAAGTGTGGGGAAGAAGTAGCCTAGCTAGGCCAGAATCTCCCCCTTTTGATATAAGAGCAAGGGTGGGGAAGAAGAAGCCTAGGTAGGCCAGAATCTACCCCTATTGATATAAGAACAAGGGTGGGAAGAAGTGGCCTAGCATACCAGAATCTCCCCACTTTTCACAGAAAACAGAACAAAATATCCTAGTTTAAACAAGGGGAAAAGTTTGGCCTAAGGGGGGAAACTTGAGCCTAGCCCAAACTTTCCCCGGGGTAAGAATATCCTAGGACAAAACCTCCCCGGGGAGAATCTGGCCTAGGCCAAAGTTTAGACCGGGGAAGAAATGGCCTGCTACACTGGATCTTCACGGGTATTCACAATTATGAAGCATGCGACTTTATGGATAGACTTCTTCTCTATTGCATACAGCAATGCTTCGATGTAGAATGTTATACCATTATTAAGAAGCTACATGCAAATGTCTCTTTCTACTATAAACCAGAAGTACTCATCCATACTCATCATTTAATCTCCAAGTTCTACAAATGCCAATCAAACAATGTTTCAGACCATAAGACAAGTTGTATCAGTTTTATTTCAAGCCCCAAAAAGCATAAGTTACAACATATGGATCATTGTTGTAGTATGGTAAGAATGAGTGAGTGAGTGAGTTTAGTTTTACGCCGCGCTCAGCACTATTCCAGCTATATGGCGGCGGTCTGTAAATAATCGAGCCTTGACCAGACAATCCAGTGTACAACAGCATGAGCATCGATCTGCGCAATTGGGAACTGATGACATGTGTCAAACAAGTCAGCAAGCCTGATCACCTGATCCCATTAGTCGCCTCTTACGACAAGCATAGTCGCCTTTTGTGGCAAGCATGGGTTGCTGAAGACCTATTCTACCCCGGATCTTCACGGGTCTAGTATGGTAAGAAAAGGTTAGAGGTATGAAGGCTTAGAGGTTAGAGTGAGTGAGTGAGTATGGTTTAATGCTGCTTTTAGAAATATTCCAGCAATATCACAGCAGGGGACACCAGAAATGGGCTTCACACATTGTACCCCTGTGGGGAATCAACCCGGGTCGTCAGCGTGTCAAGTGAACGCTTTAACCATTAGGCTACCCCACCGCTACCTAGAAGTATTAAGGGTGTTCAAAGGACAATGTTGTCATGTTAAGGGTTAAACACAAATATAGACCCAAAGGATGGGGGTTTGGATTCTTATAACCACGATCAGTGGATCCAGAACAATATCTTCTTGATTACAAGATAACAGTTCTATTTTCACAGCAGGAGCAACTGCCATATTAATGGCTCTCAAATATATCAAAATAATATTTCACTTTTGAAAATAGATAAATGTTTTTTAATAACTGGTGATTTAATTAGCATCTGTGATTGTTAGTGGCTGTATCCCAACAAGGTTTTACCTGAGGTTGCACAAGGTGCAAGATGGTTTCATTTCCTTAAATAGAGTTCTGCAAAATACGAGGCAATATGATAGGGGCAGTTTAAATATAAACATTATTTTACATAATATCCTGCTTCAATTTACTCAAAGCCATATTTCAATGTACTCTGTTAGGACATCATCACTGTTGCAACCTTTCATCCACTTTGCCAATACAGCTGCTGAAGCAGGTAAGATGCACAAGATGCTACAGACCGAAGCCAAATATATTCGGACACCTGACTTAATTTCCATAGACTTACATGTTATTTCAGTGAAGCATAAATAATTTTCATGAAGTGAGTTTAGGATGGATCTTTGTAAAATTTGACAGGCAAATTTGAAATCATATCTGCTCTGCGCACATAATTTAAGTTCAGTTTTCCGACCACTATTTAACTAATGACATCACATTTATCAACTTACGTATGGTTCCACAATGCACAATCCCATAGGCCGCCATGTTAAAGGAGTTCATGGCACTGTACATATGTTGATTAAATTGTTGCCATTCAATAAATAAGCAACGGAAAATTAAACAGAAATTATGTGATTGTAGGTAAGATGATTCCTCACAAATGTGCAAAATTTGACTTGGAGCTTACGAAAATTAAATTCATGAAAATTATTTCTGCTACACTAGATTAACATGTAAGTCTATGGAAATTACGTCAAGTGTCCGAATATAACTGGCACGGGTCTGTAGGTAGTTCACTTACTGAAGAAGAAGTATTGATGCTGATGCTGATAAGGCATGGCTCCCTTCTTCTTCTTGCCCCACTGAAAGATACAGGGATGTCAACTGGTACACAAACGACAGGCTATTGTTTATTTCTTGTTTAACGCCATGCTCAGCTATATTCCATTTATATGGCTGACACCTGTAAATAATCAAGTCTGAACCAGACAATTCAGTGAGTGATATTTTGAGCTATGATTGACAGAGTTAATCCATCACCTCTTACAAAAAGCATAGGATGCTGTAGACTTATTCTATCCAAGAATCCCAACAGGGAATGAAATAATACTGCAAAAACAACACTTTTAGTGGTATTAGTACTAGCCATAAAATACTCCAGTATGAATAGCATCATTCTGGGGGCAATTACTACACCTTTAAATTTTCTCAAAGAACACTTCAGTCACAAGTGATGCCGATTCATAAATGTTACTGTATATTCTATGATACGGAATGGGATAATTACCTCTACTGGTAGTTTATCTCCAACCAAGAGAATATAATCCAGTCGTATGTCCGGATCTTTCCGCACCACATTCGGCTTGGCATGGTGCTGGAAGTGGCGGTAATTCCACCAGTCAGCCGAGGCTCCCTGCATCAAACAATAACAGCTGCAGATCTCACTTCACATCATGGAAAACCCATGAAATATAAATCTGATGAAATGCTTTGGTAAAAAGTCATGTGCATTGTACAAACAGACCATTAATCTTGATCAGGCATATCATGAATTTAGACTCACCTGAAGCAGATCCTGTCACAGAAAAGGTATGTAACTCTTCACAGATCACTGAACTGCCTTCTAAGAAGTTAGTACATTTTAATGATTCTTTTTAAATGCATTATCAAACAAGGAAGTAAAGAAGATTGGCTGGATTTAGATCAAGGTGTCTACCCCAGTGATCTAAATATGTCTATGTCACTTCTATTTCTAGAGACAGTGGGGTAGCCTAGTGGTTAAAGTGTTTACAGAAGGTCCATGTTTAATTCCCAACATGGGTACAATGTGTGGAGCCCATTTCTGGTGTCCCCCTTGTGCAATTGCTTGAATACTGTTAAAGTGACATGCAACACAACTTACTCACTACTTCCAGATGATGAGCTATTCATCTAACCCAGTGGTGGATAATGTGAACATCAACCTGGTATAATACTGCACGGTCGGCCATATCACATGAATGGTTCAAGAGAAGGTAACCCATACCAGTACCCGATTCTGCTTGACTGTGTCACTTACTTTAAGAAAATTGATGATAAATACATGAAGGATGTGGTTCCACTTGGACGACTTGAAAACAGATAAATGGCCAAAATCGTGCTGAGACCACCCTGCTTGTGCCTGTAACAAACACACAAACCTTTCAAGTAATTATCCAATGAATTATCTGACCTATTACAACTGTGATGAAGATTACAAAAGTTTGATCCCTCACTATTTTGTTTAATGCATGTCATGATACCTCAACTGCATGGATTGATGCTCATGATGTCAGTCACTGGATTATCTGTTCCAACTTTGATTACTTATAAATAGCTGGAGTATTGGTGATGATGATGATGATGATGATGATGATGATGATGATGATGATGATGATGATGATGATGATGATGATGACAATACTTTATTACCCGTGAGGGAATTCTTGTGTAAAGTACAGAGCTCAAACATTGATAAAATGATTAAATTATTTTCATACAATAAATAACACAGATATAACATGCTAACAAGGTGAGACAAACACTAGGAATCATTTAAAAGATTAATACTGGCAGGAACAAAGGAACTCTTTCTTCATATATTTCATTTAGGTTAGCAAAAGATACACCTGCAATTTTACTGGCTAATAAAACTATTCTGGTGAGACAGTTTCTGTTTTTAAGGGACATGGTTCCATACCAGCATTGTACAGAAAAAGTCGGAATGCTCTGTTTAAAGCACTGACAGAAAAGACACATATATACATATTGCTGACAATATCTTGAACAACAAACAAAAACAAAGGACACCAGCAGTTACACTCCCTACCTGCGCAGTCGTCAGGAGCAAGGTGGCTACAAGATATGGTACCCAGGACGTCCCGAACTGCCAGAAGATGAGCCAAGGCTAGGGCCTCCAGGGCTATCACCTGACCCACTGTCCATGTGAAGAAGGCAACGCTGGCCTTGAACAGACCCATGTCCTCCACCTTCTGACGCAAGTCCCGGAAGTCCCGGATCAGTTCACTCTGACGTCAGAACAGTTAACAATTCCAAATAATTTGCATAAATTATTATAATTCTTTTTGTTCAGGCACAGGTAGAGTAAATACCATAAACACACATATGAGATTACAAGCTCATTACCAGTCTTAGTTTTAAAAGTATTAAAAATGCTGATGGGAGTGATACAGCTGTCCTGACTAGTGGTGGTCCGATTAATTGAAATAATCGAAGATTGGTCGCAGTGACTAAACGACCAAGCAATCGATTGTGTTTTCTCATAATCGAACGCAAACAATTTTTGAGCACTTGTTTGCATTAACGACATTTTTCACAAGGTTGGTTTTGTCCATTACATTTCATGAGCACTACAAGCTCGTTCCAAGTCACGATTGAATTTATCTTAAAGACTCCAGGAAATTTGTTCCTAACATATTAGTCATCATTTAAAGATGTGAAATTTGCAAATGCATTTTGTGCAATTTGAAAAAAACAAAAGAACATGTTTGTTTTTTTATTTTCTGTGCATTAACAAACATAACCAGGAAAATTTGACAAATGATGCTAACCAATTATTTTCGATGATGGATCGGTTGTAATGAACCAATCATCAATTATGAGATTTTAACCAATTCCCAACACTAGTCCTGACTTCAATAATATTCCTTGTGTTCATTTCAACTTGAGCAACAATTGACACAAAATATGCCCGTTATTTCTCAATGAAGTCTTTCAACACCTTACATCAAGATGACCAGAAAAAAACATTGTTTTCATAATTACATGTTGAATAAGCACTTCTATTTTATGAGAAAAACATTGATTTCCTAATTATATGTTGCATAAGCACTTCTATAGTGTTTTATGATATTAAATTTCTTTGAATGTTTTGATGTAGGGAATTGTCGCTTTGATCAAATAATTTTAAGGGGGAAACACCAATTTTTTTCTGGGGTGTCCAGCAATTTTGTACATGAAATGCAGGGGTTGGGGGTTTGTCTCTTACTTTGTACATAAATTAAATTTTAGGGGGGTCATTCACATGCTTCTCCATAAAAATTATCAATATCACCCCTAGCCATAAATTATGAACAGTCCCTAAATTGAGAAGAGGAACACTTTTTTTATGGATAGACAACTTCTTTATAGCATTCGATGCGACGTAGATCCCAACACCGTTATCAAGTAAATGAAATATGCACCAGCTTCTAATTGCTGCTTAAAGAACCTAAGTTGAGAGTAACACAAGGATTAGTGATCCCCTTTGTAAACTGGGTGCTTATAAAGGCAAATACGGTAGGTTCATCATTGTTTACCGTGTATCCGAGACAAATACACACGGTAATCTTAATTAATCTATAGAGCAAAAACTGTAACTAAAATTACACAATGCTAGGATATATTTCTTTGGGTTAAATAATGGTATTCTGTATTATATTTTACTGATGACTGCGTCAGAATTCGTCCCGTTATATTATTGTGCATGTTTGAACTTGTTCGCCGGGAAACGTGTGCACAGCTGATTGCTATTTCCGGCTTTGTGTACGAGACAAATACGCACGGTAATCTTAATCCCTGCAAATAATACAATGCCCAGCAAAACAACTTATAACTTAAGAGGTAAATAATCTTGTCTAGTGATGTTTAATTGCAAATTTGACGTCTCTACTGACAAAGTCGTCTTCTGTTGTTTGTTCACACGAAGTGATACGATGTTGTTTTCTTACCCCTGGAAAAAAGTTTGACGAAAGCGTAACCCATGGATAAGACGACCCCCTTCTACAGACTGCTTTTTTTGGTCCTCAAAATTCGGCTTATAGACGGTCATATACGGCACTTTAGTTTCTTTTATGATCTTACCACTTTTCTTTCCTCTTCTCTGACTTTCCCAACCAGCAGTGGTCGCAGGTACTTGCTCACTGCTTATAAAGGCAAATAAGGTAGGTTCATCATTGTTTACTTTAGTTTCTTTTATGATCTTACCACTTTTCTTTCCTCTTCTCTGACTTTCCCAACCAGCAGTGGTCGCAGGTACTTGCTCACTGCTTTTCTGTCATTGTGGAATGCAACCCAAGCATCCTAATAAAATCAAGGAAATAACTTTGATAAACTATGTTGATTCTCAGGCTCTGTCCAATCAAGAAAACATTGCTCAAAACATGAATTCTTTGATAACAGTGGCAGTGGGCTAACCTAATTGTTAAAGCAACAGTACACTGAATCAGTTTCAGTATGAATACCCCACTCATATTTTAAACCCAGGCTTGCTCTCCCAGCAATAAAAATAAATGTCTAAATTTAGGCTTATCCAAATGTTTGACATATACATCAGTGCATGAAATAAGCACCACCCTGTATTTTTACCAATTAATTTTGTCTGAAATGAAATTCTAAACTCTTTCCAACAAATAACCTTTATAATTTGCTAGAGCAAGCATTCAACATTTAAAAAACGAAAACATCATTGAAATCACCACATACTTTAATTAGAATAATTGCCTACATTTATAAACAGGTGTTTTTCTGTCCTAAAACAAGTTACCTTATTATAAAAAGTGAAAGTAAAAATTGATTGTTATGTAAATTCGTTATTTATTGTGAATGGCTGAAAGTTTTTAAACTAAGATTTAGGAAAAGTTAAGAAAAGTAAAATTTTAAAAATGCAGTAAAAGTTGCTTTGCAAACAAAACAAACAGATTTTAGCTTTAATTATCAGTATCCGGCAAGGAGAAATGTTTATTCAACACAATAAATTCAAAATTCAGTTTTTGTCAATTACCAACTGAATTGTTGGAAAGACCTGAATCTTTGACATTCGGGTTCTTCCTGATTATACACAATTAAAGCTTACTTGGTGTGTAAGTCATCTTGGTGTGAACAGAATTTTTATTTTTAGTCAAAACTTAATTTAATTGTGTAGTTTGAAAAGGAGAGGAATAGTTATTTTGGGTAAAAATTCAGTCCCATCACATTTCATCAACATATTCTTTCATAAAGAATAAAAAAGTTATGGTATTTGTAAAACTGTCAGTGGATAAAGCTTCTTAACTACAGGTTGATTAAATTGATGGCTATACCCTAACTTTTCTGTAGCATCACATCTTATTTTCAAAATAGGGTGGTGCTCAATTAATGCACGGGTGTATATATCCCTTTCTCCTTGGCTCACAAATTCCTCTTCTTTGGAACGATCGGGATCCTGCCATCATTTACCTATAGAAGTAGGTTGGTGGCACAAAATTTCACCTTAATAAAGAATGTGTAACATCTGCTACAACGTGTGATGTTGGTGATGAATTTCACTACATTTTTCTCTGCCCTTTCTTCAAGCATCATCGGAAAACATATATCCCAAAACATTATTTAAAACACAATGTGTTAAAATTAACAATTGTTGAACTGTAAACAAACAAATGTTTTAAAAATACTATGCATATTTTGTAATACCATCATGAAAACAATAAATCTTCCATGTAAACCATCCTGTCATCCTATGTACTCTTGACTGTATATTTGTACCTCTTATGCCAAGTATCGCAACCTGAACATAATAATAGTTCTGTCCTTCTGTACTGACTTGCCAAACACAACACTGTTTAAAACAAACAAAACTTAATTTAATTGTGTAGTTTGAAAAGGAGAGGAATAGTTATTTTGGGTAAAAATTCAGTCCCATCACATTTCATCAACATATTCTTTCATAAAGAATAAAAAGTTATGGTATTTGTAAAACTGTCAGTGGATAAAGCTTCTTAACTACAGGTATTATATCCCTTTTTCTCATCACATCTTATTTTCAAAATAGGGTGGTGCTCAATTAATGCAATATATCCTCTTCTCCTTGGCTCACAAATTCGAACGGGGATCCTGCCATCATTTACCTATAGAAGTAGGTTGGTGGCACAAAATTTCACCTTAATAAAGAATGTGTAACATCTGCTACACGTGTGATGTTGGTGATGAATTTCACTACATTTTTCTCTGCCCTTTCTTCAAGCATCATCGGAAAACATATATCCCAAAACATTATTTAAAACACAATGTGTTAAAATTAACAATTGTTGAACTGTAAACAAACAAATGTTTTAAAAATACTATGCATATTTTGTAATACCATCATGAAAACAATAAATCTTCCATGTAAACCATCCTGTCATCCTATGTACTCTTGACTGTATATTTGTACCTCTTATGCCAAGTATCGCAACCTGAACATAATAATAGTTCTGTCCTTCTGTACTGACTTGCCAAACACAACACTGTTTAAAACAAACACCACCCAAATCTAGACCTCAAAGAGCTATACATTCAACCTTGTAATTAAAACAGAGAGAGATGTCTTATTTGTTCAAGAACAGTTTGTGTTCTAAATGCAAATGATCCAATGAGCTTCCCAGGTAAATATGCAAAGGATTTACTTTAATTAATGTACATGTCAGCCAGTGAGCTTAATTGTCTTCACAAGGAATTAACTGGACGGGGCTATCGTGACCAGAATATTTATAACAACAAGAATGTAAACAGGGAAGTAGATCATTCTTATTAGACCGTGTGTGGTGAGACCCAGTTAATTCAGTTTATACTTGACTTGTTTCTCTAGGCACGAACTGGAAAACTGAAAGCATGTCATCAAACCTACCACAGATAATGACAAACCTAAATCTTACCTTACTCTTTATCACAAGTATCACTTAAGACGTTTGATGAATAGTCTGAAATCTATCTTTTTTAAGGTAATTGAGATTTTGAATTCAGACAACAGTTAATCTTTTGTAACTGACAAAAATATCTTCCAATCAGACTGGTATATTTATCTGTGAAATAATTTCAAACACAAATCACCAACAAAATACAGTGATTGTCATCTCCTTGAAAACCACTTCAGATATATACAAGAGGGTCATGAATAGTCAGTCTCCGGACCAAGAGAATAATTTTAAAATCACCTAAATCCTGTCTGATTAATCTGGCATGTAAATACTTTCTCGGCCTAAAATTAAGCACCCATTGTCCTCGCAGTCATATGTGTCATATGTTGTAGATATAATATGTGCATTTTTTATATATATTTAAAAGGGTAACTTTATTTCTGGGACTAATTGAAATATATATATTGATAGTCTGTTGGCAGCCGTTAAATTAATGTGATGGTTATGTAAGAAATATTGACTTAGTACGAGGGTTCTTAAACTCATGGTGTTTTAACAAAGAAAGAATCATCACAAAAAGAGAACTGCTTAAAATGAAAAAGGTTTATAGCAGTCTATGTTGTTTCTGCAATGATGTAAGTGAGAGTGTTTGTCATGTGTAACATTTCAATCATAAATGGGTCCTTCTCTCCCAAGTACTTTGAATACTTTAAAATGTATCCATATATACCTGATATCATCTTTCTTTTTTATCGACGTATATGTTTATTATTATGATATTGGCATAATACCTGTACATAATGTATCTGTATGTACTACAGTTTGGTACATATGACATTGTAATCTTGGGAACCAATACAAAATAATAAAAGAATCGTAACATTTTCTCATTTTAAATTAAATATGATTTATTAATAAATAATATAACTTATTATAAGAAACAGACCAAGATCACCCCTCAAGCGCCTCATGCCGGCTAAACAGCTGCATGTGTACATGTATAAATGTACTTACAGGTAAGGTTTATGAATGTAAATCAGAACACAAACATGAGCTCACCGTGGCATCCTCGCCTGCATGGTTGTTGATGAGTTTTTCACCACCCGGGTGCTTTTTCCCCCACGAAGTTACATCGTAAACGAAGTCGTCGATCACAATCCACCGGTCCTCGCGAGAAGCATGTTTGCTAATGTCATTCATAGAATAAGAGGGCAACACTTTCCCTTTCTTCGTCTCTTCGCGGCACATGCTGCATAAAATAAGCTGACAGTCTCTCGATCTGAAATAGGAAATAAATAAACCTCTCTCGAGAGAAAATTAATTAACAATGACCATAGCTTCGAGCGCACCAGTAGAAAAAAATAAAATCGCGCTATAGACGACCTTCACCTATGCATGACCTGAAATGACCCTCAGATCATCCTCATCAGCCAATAAGATGGAAGCATTGCTGTGCTGTTGTCGTTCGGTTCAATTGTCGATTACCGCAAATCTCGCCACAAAATACACTGGCTTTGGCATAAGGATTGGGTACACACTGTTTTCGCCTGTGTACGTTAATATATCAGTCGTCTAGTTAATTAGCACGTTTCTGTGATGACAGCTTACCTGTTCACCTTACTTAGTAACGATCGAGTAGCTTAATAATTATTTTAAATAATTAATACCCACGGGGTTTAACAATAGACTTGATAAAATCAGGTATGTATGTATCTCATATTGTTCTGGTTTGACGGATGATATTTCAAGTACGTATCTGTATCCCATAATCATCATAAAAATATAAAAGCGTGAACTACTGACTGATGGATAACAGGAATATAATATTTGCCACGAAAGCAGACGCCATATTTTAATGCCTGTTTGTAACATATCACATTACTCATGCATTTTATCACATCAGTATTTGCATGATATCCCCAAATCATTTCTTACTTCAGAACGTGACCGTTTAATCTATATGACGATTTTTCATTTTATTATTTAGGATTAATTGTAATTAGTATTATCAACAACATTTATACTGTTGGAGTGGTGGGGTAGCCTTGAGGGTAAAGCGTTCGCTCGTCACGCCGAAGACCTGGGTTCGATTCCCCACATGGGTACAATGTGTGAAGTACATTTCTGGTGCCCCCGCAGAGATATTACTGGAATATTGCTAAAAGCGGCGTACAACCATATACATACTCTCTCATTTGTAATGAGCGTATTTCGACATAGATTTCTGCCAGATTAATATCAGATTTGATTGCGTTCATCAATAAAGTCATATAATATTAAGTTGTAGATTTGTAACTTGAAGATTAATTACCTCTGTTCGTATAAATACACAATGCCATTTAGAAAGTGGTAACACATGTTATAAGTGGAATTACACATTCTCAGTAAAGAGGGGCGGCGGGGTAGCCTAGAGCATTCGCTCGTCACGCCGGGTTCGATTCCCCACATGGGTACAACGTGTGCAGCCCATTTCTGGTCTCCCCCCGTCAAGATATTGCTGGAATATTGCTAAAAGTGGCTTAGATACAAACTCACTCACTCACTCAATCAGTACATATTGAAATTGCTTGTAATAAAAATATACTGACTGCTTCAAACTCACACCTGAAGGTCGACGGACCGCCTCCGTGGTGTAGTGGTTAGAGCGTCCGCCCGGAGAGCGGAAGGTCGCGGGTTCGATCCCCGACCGCGTCATACCAAAACAAACCGAAAAATGAGTCTCATTAACCTATTTAGACTGACCAACTTTTCAGCCGATCCGAATTTTCTCGTGTGAAAGTGAAAATAGGCATCACAAACAACTATGGTTACACTGAATTCCAATTCCTTGTTTCATAAGAAAATGGTATTTACAAATGTATTTTAATTTTAAACGTTAATAACATCGTATTTCTATATTTTATGGCGAGGTGTAGGCAGCATGATCTTAACTAAGACGTCACAGACTGCCCCAGGTTGATGAGGTCGTAAAATGATTCACAATGCATCTGGCTCACTGGTTACACCTGTTTTGGTTTTTTTGCGCTGATTCAGTGTAGTTCTGTAACGCACAATGTGGTTGATTTAATATCAAGTCCGTACCACTATGCCAAACCTTTCTAGCGGCAGAACTTCGTTTTGAGATTTCCACGATTTCAGGTTTCTTTTTGTCAGAGCTCGCTGCACAACATGTTTGCAAGCATTATAAGGAGCGTAGTGTTGCAATATACAAGTGCTTAGATGTATCAAATAATACTGATTAATATTTAAGCATTCAGTTAAATGAATTGGTCTAAACATTCTGGACTTGTTATTGTAGTAAGGTGCGCAATAGGACGGAACCCAGTCAACAGGAAACGAGACTGTTGTGTAATCAATGTTTTGACTTGGACGTTAAAATATGGTACTTGTTGGTCCCTGCCTGGCGCTCGGCATTAATAGGTACAACAAGGACTGGTCGGCTCGGAGTCAGTATAATGTGTCTGAGTGGGATATTCATGCTTCACTGCGGCATGGTATCTCAGTGGGCTAGCACTATAAAACCAGCTTCAGTCTGGGCTAGTACAAGCAGCCGCACATACACATACATACACACGCATGCACGTCGTCATATGAGCGAAATATTCTCAAGTACGACGTTAAACCCAATTTCACCTCACCTCACCTGAATGTCGACAGGATCAAAATGGATACTTAAAGCAGATATAATGATGATAATATTTAAAATATTGTTCGTATGAGGAGGGTTCACTTGACTTGACGCTTTGAGAATTTTTATAAATTATATCAGGTCGTGTCAATCTGATTGAACTTGAGGCTGGTTGGTTGTTGTTTAACGCCGCACTCAGGAATATTACTTATACCACATAGCCACTGAGGTTAGGTTGCTAACAGAGCATAAGCGAATCCTGATAAACACTACTAAGAATGTAACAAAGCTTATTTATTATTCAATACGTGTTAGATTGAGTGATATGGGTTAAACACCGCTTTTATAATTATTTTTCACAAATTATATCAGCGAAGAGATGAAAAGTTGCTGTTTATTATTGAGAGTGATTTAAGAACCTTAACATACACCGAGAAATATGTTTAATCACGACCTTCTGGTAAACAGTACCAATGTTCGTGTAAGCAGAGAGAAAATCCGAACGATATACAATGTCAAGGGCACCGTTGATAGCCTGCATCACGTGATAATCTGAATGGCGTTGACAGCTTCATGACTTGATCCCAGCCTCCTCATGCTTGCAGAGATACCAGGAGATATCACCGATAGCGCGATATGAATATATCACACGACTGTGCCTGTACGGTCGTTATACCACGCTGGTGACGGCACCGATGACCGCAAAGCCCTACGTTTATGAGTCGTAAAGGACAAATGTAGCTGTCTGTATGAATTCCATAGTAGTGGACTGTCCAGAGCGTCTTGCGGTTTACAATAATTTTATTGACTCCACACACCTGACTCACAGAGAAAACAGATAGATCGTCAACTTGCACTTCTGTTCCTATCCTGTCTGTCCGACTGAAAGGTTACCGTTGACTTATACTGGTCAATAATCATCCTGGCTAATTTTACTGTTTTTGCAAAAACTGTCCTTCCACAGATTATTCCGTTAGACGAAGTTGTTCGGATCAGTGAAGATCCGTGTTAGAACTGGTCTAACATCACGGCGGGGGACACCAGATATGGGCTTCACACATTGTACCCATGTGGGGAATCGCACCCGGGTCTTCGGCGTGACGAGCGAATCTCTGACAGGAAGTGCCAAAGACATTTACTTCAGAAAATAAATGAACCTCTTTTTAATCTAGGTAAAATCGAAGGGGAAATATTTTTTCCGAAATGTTCGGTGTACAACAATTTATCTATTTCTCAAAATCTTGTCAGAATAGTGAAAACTGATTAATGCCACACTGCCATGTAATATAGAGGGCAACAACTTCTTTTAATGTGTAATTCTGTAAAACTGGAATGCGTCAGTTCCATGGCGTTTTCCTTGCTGAATAGGCTGATATATCCTGAGAGAAACACAAAAAGGATCACAGGAAAATTCAAGCGTTCCTTTATTATTTTCCAGTTTTCATCACCACAGCGCTATTCAAAGCTGGTGATGAAAACTGGAAATTAATAACGGAACACTTGAATTTTACTGTGATCCTTTATTTGTTTCTTTCAGTATATTTATGATAGGCGTGCTGGAACGCGTGTGAACAATGAGTATTATCTATCGCTATGTATATATACAGTAAACAACAGCCTTGGTAAACTTTCCGTAGCACATGTACTTGTCCACGACACGGATATCCACTTTGGCATCACTCAGGTGATGCTGAGAAACTGGACCTGACCAATGGGATGCATGGAATCTTAATATGCAAATGAACCCGGTGACTTGTTATCGTTTTCAGATACCGTATGTCTCAAGCCTACCAAGCTGGATGCTAGGACACTTTGTATGCAAATGATTTGTCGTCTGTCACGAGACACATAAATAAACCAATTCCACCTGTCTGCCTGATTTAAACAATATCTAATTTCAAAAGGAATGGGATAGGTAAATAGCCATAGCCTATTAAAAAACAAAGAAAAAGCAATGCTAGAACACCTCTCCTTCTATTAACAATCGACAGTAGAGAGTGAGTTTAGTTTTACCCCGCACTCAGCAATATTCTAGCTATATGGCGGCGGTCTGTAAATAATCGAGTCTGGACCAGACAATCCAGTGATCAACAGCATGAGCAGTTGGGAACCGATGACATGTGTCAACCAAGTCAGCAGCCTGACCACCCGATCCCGTTAGTCGCCCTTACAACAAGTATGGGTTACTGAAGATCAATATTCTAACCTGGACCTTCATGGGTCTGCTGTAATAGAATACCCAGCAGATAATAAAGATGATTTGCAAAATGGTGTGTGGGCGTTTGCTGAGTTTTCATTTTGGGTATCATATCTTCAGTATTTACAACAGAAGTGAAGAAATTACAAGACAACAGCTTTACAAAAAGCTATAATACATAGCACTTTATTATGTACACATGTACAGTTCTGGGCCTAGATTTTCAAGCTCTCTTAGCTCTAAGATAGTCGTAAGTTAATGTTAATGTATGGCACTTATGACTATGGTAGCCCTAAGAGCTTAAAAAGTCTAGGCCCTGGTATGTATTTCTTGGTTTATGACCTTGAGCCGTATCAAGAAAAAGATATTGTTCTGAGAGCATATTCTTATCAAACAATCAAATGATTGTCAGATGCATGGAGACACCCAGTCCGATGTTTGTGTCTCTGACCCAGGAGATAACTGATGAGTTCGCTCAGTCCCAGGAGCCATTGTAACCATTGATGTCTCACAGTCCCAGGAGACATTGCCACAGTTGTCTGATTGAGTTGTAATAATAACTGGAGACGATTGGAACTGTTGATGTCTCACAATCTCTGGAGATGTTGTAACCATTATCTCATTGACTTCTCTGAAATCTCTGAGACATTGTAACTGTTATTATCTCGGAGACATCATAAATGATGTTTCATGGAGTCCTCACAATCTCTGGAGACACTTCAGGAGGGTGTCTCTGAGTCTGACCCTGATGGATTCATCTCCCTCGCAGATAATGTGAGTGGAATCACTCTCCAGCTGAATCAGGGTGTCATCGTTGGGCTGGAGGAAGAAAGCAGTAATGAGAGGAAGAGGAAAATAACAACATCTCCATCACCACATGACATCCAATTACCTGTACCATACAATATTCCTTTGAGTGGCTGCTTTTAACATAAAATCACCAGATAAGCAGCTACATCCATCTCCCACTCTTCAACCTTGCCCTTTAAAACCAAGTTTCCTGAGCTAAAACTGGCATCCTCTCAAACCAAGTCCTGCACATATCGCTAGTTTAATCTGAGAACATTTACAACATCTTGGTTCCTGAAATTTGGCAGCAGCTATGGCCACAGCAATCATATGTTGAATTATTCCAACAACTGATTGATGACAATAATATTTCTGAAAATCTTACCTAATTTGTCGTTCACTTTTAGAGTGATTTTTATACATTTCAGTGAATGCTAATTCCAACAGCTGAACATTACGGCAATGACATAGATTCTGTTCTATTTTTAGACAACCAATGCTGAGTGTTTCATACGCATTGTTACTTGATACTGTGTAGTCTGTTAGCCTCTATTATTTTATTAGCAACTTGCATGTATAGTTATCTGTTCTTTCGTTTGTTAGTCAGGGATGAAATCTCATATTTTTTCATTATCTTATCAAAGAGGTCATTTTTTATAGTAGCAACCATCTTTGAGAAACCATGTGAAATTAGCAGATTAATCTGACTGTTTATTTTTCATTATCTTATCAAAGAGGTCATTTTTTATAGTAGCAACCATCTTTGAGAAACCATGTGAAATGAGCAGATTAATCTGACTGTTTATCATGTTTTCATCATACAGGATACAACTGATGCTCCACATGGAGCTGAGGTGAGGTGAGGTGAAATTGGGTTTTACGTCGTGCTTGAGAATATTTCGCTCATATGACCTCGTGCATGCGTGTGTATGTGTATGTGCGGCTGCTTGTACTAGCCCAGACTTAAGCTGGTTTTATAGTGCTAGCCCACTGAGATACCATGCCGCAGTGAAGCATGAATACCCCACTCAGACACATTATACTGACTCCGAGCCGACCAGTCCTTGTTGTACCCATTAATGCCGAGCGCCAGGCAGGGACCAACAAGTACCATATTTTAACGTCTTTTGGTATGACGCGGTCAGGGATTGAACCCGCGACCTTCCGCTCTCCGGGCGGACGCTCTAACCACTACACCACGGAGGCAGCCACATGGAGCTGATCAGGAAAAGGGTCCATAAGTAGGTCACGGCACTTGACACGACCTTAGTACTTCCGGTGACAAACAACATTTCATACCTGTTTGAATGGTCTCATGGTTGTCAGCTGACAGCAAGGAACCCATAATTCTTGCAGGAAAAACAAATGTCCGATCTAATCATCCCCAAATTATCCAACTATTATGACTGCCAGCAGCTGTGACAGCCAAGCGTGGTTGTACACTTGGTCCAGTCTGGTTAAGTCATATTTGGTGGTCTTGCAATGTTGAACCAGAACTGGTTCTTGAATATACGGTCACCGGAAACCTGGTACCAGAAGTAAGCTGGGTGAGACTTACAGACGATATCGAGCCAAAATCCGTCAGTGGTGGAAACAAGACTCTGATACAGGGACTGACTGACTGACTGACTGACTGAGTTTGGTTTTACGCCGCTTTTAGCAATATTCCCGCAACATCACGGCAGGGGACACCCGAAATGGGCTTCACACATTGTACCCATGTGGGGATTCGAACCCGGGTCTTCGGCGTGACGAGCCACTAGGCTACCCCACCGCCCCCTGATACAGGGAAGTGAAATCTCTTGATCCTGGAAGATGAGTTGTATGATGGAAGCCTGTAGGTAACTACCTAGACATCCAGTTGTTGAAAGTATTAACACACAACTGGTGTACAATGTCATACAGTCAACCAGATCACACACAGTAACCATTCTGTCCGAGAATACCAACAGGCATCAACAAATCTGTTTACCTTAAATTTCAACTATTATGACAACAGTTTGCAAACCAGGTGCCCAATCCAGGCCCCGATTTCTCGAAACAAACTTAAGTTTTTACTCAAATTTCAAACTGAGTTTGACAATTTGAAACAGCTGAATTTTTTAAATAAAAAAAGCCCAAACAACTTAAGTAATCTATCCACCAAACTCAAATTGTCTACTAAGTTTGAGTTTAATATTGATTTCAGTTTATTCTGGGAAATGCATTTTCCTGCGTTTTCTCAAATTTGAGTAAAAACTCAGACTTAAATTTGTTTCGAGAAATCAGGGCCAGATGACGTTTATAGCATTACAAACTATCGTAAGTATATACATGTAATATATTACATGTTTATGATTATCGTAGTGCTGTGAACGCTTTGTAGATTGGGCTCCAGTGATAGTTATTTTCCTTCCTGAAACCAATGACAGATAATGTTCACAGATAAATTGAGATTCCTGCCTCACCAGATGAATGATGGTTCCACTGCCGGTCTCCTCCACCTTGATGCAGGAGACACCCGCCTGTAAACAGACACAACACACTGTATACAAGCAGCCATTTCACAATCCTCTTTCACCATTTTTCAAAACAAGTATGGGTTATTGGGGACTCTATCCCACAGGCTTGCAACCTCTTACATTCCAACAGTCGAGGGGGTTTACCTTGCCAAGATCATCTACGAATGACTGAATGTTGGGGGATCCAAACAAATAGGACTTGGACTTTGATCCATCCAGCTTACGCTTGTCACCAGGGACAGGATCCTTCTGTATGGGCTGAAAGGAGAGTCAGTTGACCTGAGTAACGATTCCTTACACTTAACTTATTGTCATGCATCAAATTCTGATAATTATTTTCTTTAGGTCAACTTTTCAATGCAAACAGCATTTTACACAGTTCCAACAACATTTTACAAAGGCTCAACAGCATTTAACACAGGTCCACCAGCATTTTACACAGGCTCAACAGGATTTTACACAGGTCCACCAGCATTTAACACAGGTCCACCAGCATTTTACACAGGCTCAACAGGATTTTACACAGGTCCACCAGCATTTTACACAGGTCCAACAACATTTTACACTAGCCCAACAGCATTTTACACAGGCCAAATAGCATTTTACACAGGCTCAACAACATTTTACAAAAGGCTCAACAGCATTACACAGGGCCAAAAGCATTTTACACAGGTCCAACAGCATTTTACACAGGTCCAACAGCATATTACACAGGTCCAAGAACATTGTACATGGGTCCAACAACATTTTACATGGGTCCAACAACATTTTACACAGGCCCAACAGCATGACTGCTGTGCACAGCAAACTTCAATGCACTGCAGTATCACTGCTGTATTTGTAATTGTTATTCTAATTGTAAATAAAAACAGTCATCTTAGTCTAAAGTTTCCAGTGGAATGGACACTAACCTTCAAAACGTAGTTGTTGTCCCTAACCTCCAGGAAACCTGTTACCATAGATATAGCAGTGCCTGGTTTAACTTCCATTGGTTCCAAAGTTTCAGCCAACTAAAACAGAAGGGAGACAACTCATAAAGTGAAGGATTGTGCAGTTTGAAGGTGTCAACAATCTGTTTGTTTTGTTGTTGAACACCTCACAATATTGCAGCTATATGATGGCAGGCTGTAAACAATAAAGTTTTGACCAGACAATTAATTGACTGACATCAAAAGCATCCATCTACGCTTTGGGAAACGATTGCACCAACCAAGTCAGAAAGCTTGACCACCCCATCCATTTAGTCACCTCCTACAACAACCATAGGTTGCTGGGGACATATTTGCCAGTCAGGATCAAACTAGAAGTTCATATCTGGTCTTTAAAGGTGTCATATGTCAGGTGTTAAAAATGTGAAGACATTCAGGTTTACCATGTTCACATGTGTTAAATAATGGAGGTCTGCTAGTGTACAGTAAATCATGAGTGAGTGAGTGGTGAGTGAGTGAGTTTAGTTTTACGCCGCACTCAGCAATATTCCAGCTATATGGCGGCGGTCTGTAAATAATTGAGTGATCAACAGCATAAGCATCAATCTGTGCAATTGGGAACCGATGACATGTGTCAACCAAGTCAGCTAGCCTGACCACCCGATCCCGTTAGTCGCCGCTTACGACAAGGATGGGTTGCTGAAGATCAATATTCTAACCCGGACCTTCATTGGTTTGGTAAAACATGAAATTAAGTGTACAGTAAAACATGAAAATAAAAGTACAGTAAAACATAAAAACAAGTGTACAATAAAATATGAAAATAAGTGTACAGTAAAGCAGGTCTACAAGTGGACAGCACCTACCTCTGGGTGGAGGTGAACATTCTCATACTGCCTCTTGATAGGCAGAGACAGGATCTCCCCTCGCTTGTATGTCAAGGGCGCTGGTTCCTGCAAGTAGGTAGCCATAAGAACATCCTTGCCCAGCTTATGTTTACTGTTATTGTCAGGTTACACATAGCATGATATAGCTAGTTAGCTGCAGTTGTGGTGGCTTCAAGGTGAGTGAATGTTTTATTAAGCTGAGGTCAGCAATATTCGAGCCATATTCATGTCACTGAGTTACACAACATTCTGTTAATACTTGGGTCCACCGTGTAATATAGTAGCTGATATGTATTAATATGAGGAAAGCAGAGATGCCAACCCTAATTTAGCCCAATGAGTATTTTGGCCAAAAACTGATGCCAAAATTAGTATTTTCTTGCCAAAATTAGTATTAACGTTTCCAAATAATTTTCCTATTAAATAAAAAATATATAAATATTCTAAGAACTTGTTATTAACATTGTACTCACCTAAATCAGTAGTAAGCATCCACATATAGCTTGATACTGAATAAATGTGGTTGAAATATATTGTGTATGGTACGTATGCTATATGATAAATTAATTTAAAGTATTTCTTTTTTATAATTCATATGTTTTTACTTTTACTATCGTAGTTGCATATTTTGTCTTATTTTTCATAATGATTACGATAAAATCGTATGGTTGGCATCTCTGGGAAAGGTCAAGGCCACAGTTGTTCAATGAACTGCAACCACTGCACTCTGCAACTTCAAGTTTCCACTTAAGGCAAGCATGAGTAGCAGCCTATTCCGTGGTGCAGTGGTTAGAGCGTCCGCCCGGAAGGTCGCGGGTTCGATTCCTAGCCGTGTCATACCAAAAGACGTTAAAATATATATACGGTACTTGTTGGTTCCTACCTGGTGCTCGGCATTAATGGGTACAACAAGGACTGGTCGGCTCGGAGTCAGTATAATGTGTGGGGTTATCATGTTTAACTGCGGCATGGTATCTCAGTGAGCTAGCACTTTAAAACCAGCTTCAGTCTGAGCTAGTAGAAGCAGCCACACATACACGCGCATGCACGTCTTTATGAGCGAAATATTCTTCAGTACGATGTTAAAGCCCATTTCAGCTCACCTCACCTGGGATTGTACTTCAGCATGAGTTGCATCTGTCACAGAAATACCCTCTGTGTAGTGTATGGTATGTTTCATACAGGATACAAGTAGGATAAATAGAGTATACCCAGGTGTGATGTGTCAAACCAAGGCTCATCTGTCATACCAAGGCATGTTCTGTCACACCAAGATCTGAAGCTACAAGTTCAAGCCTGGTTTTCAAAGGATTCACAGGTATGATCTGTCACATCCAGGTAACAACTGTCATACTCTGATGAGTCAGTCATATCCAAGTGAGGTCTATTATACCTATGATATAGTGAGGTCTGTCACACCAAGGTAACGTCTTTCATGCCTATGATATGGTGAGGTCTGTCATACTCATGACATGGTAAGGTATGTCATACCAAGGTAACGTCTTTTATGCCTATGATATGGTGAGGTCTGTCATACCCATGACATGGTGAGGTCTGTCATACCAAGGTAACGTCTTTCATGCCTATGACATGGTGAGGTCTGTCATACCCATGACATGGTGAGGTCTGTCATACCACGGTGAGGTCTGCCATACCCATGATAAGGTGAAGTCACCAAGGTGAGATGTCACACTCATGATATGGTGAGGTCTGTCATACCCATGCTATGGTGAGGTCTGTCATACCCATGACATGGTGAGGTCTGTCATACCAATACCATGGTGAGGTCTGTCATACCAAGGTGAGGTCTGCCATACCCATGATATGGTGAAGTCACCAAGTTGAGATGTCACACCCATGATATGGTGAGGTCTGTCATACCCATGACATGGTTAGGTCTGTCATACCAAGGTGAGGTCTGCCATACCCATGATATGGTGAAGTCACCAAGTTGAGCTGTCATACCCATGATATGGTGAGGTCTGCCATACCCATGATATGGTGAAGTCACCAAGTTGAGATGTCATACCCATGATATGGTGAGGTCTGCCATACCCATGATATGGTGAAGTCACCAAGTTGAGATGTCATACCCATGATATGGTGAGGTCTGTCATACCCATGATATGGTGAGGTCTGTCCTCTGCGGGGCGAGCAACGGAGGTGAGGTGTAAGTTTCAGCAACTACAAGGTGAAGCGGACGCAGATCTTTGATGAGTTTGTTGGCCTGGGCAAAGCTGAGACTGGTATCTATCGGACAGTAACACACCTGCAACAAGAAGCTGCTTACATCAACAAGAACACTCCCAGGTTGTCGGCCCACCAACTCACTCGAAACAAATTATTGTAAGACTGACACTGACTACTATACAAAACAAAACAATCTGCCTACCCTCATCGCTAAGGGCTGGAATGGTCCAAGTGCTTCTAAATATGGGAAGTCAGGCTCTGAAATTGGAAGCAGATATCAACGTGAATTTAGACATGTCTAAAATTAGAAGTAGATACAAAATGAATATGCCACAGGATATCCATGTCCTATTCTACAAGACTGACTGACTGAATGAGTTTAGTTTTACGCAGCTTTTAGCCATATTCCAGCAACATCACGGCGGGGGACACCTGAAATGGGCTTCACACATTGTACCCATGTGGGGATTCGAACTCGGGTCTTCAGCGTGACGAGCGGACGCTTTAACCACTAGGCTACCCCACCGCCCCTATTCTACAAGAGGCCCTACAATAACTTAATGGTTGCCCTGACCTGTAAATATGACGGTGTTGCTGGCAGACTTGCCCCACAGTTCTATGAAGTGGACAGCATCCCCCAGCCTCAGGGAGGGGTGGCCGGCAAACATCACACATGGGGTCTTGAAGTCTGTGCCAAGACCATCTGTAACACAATGTTGTATAAGGTATGTAATGATGAAATATCCTCTACGTCAGGGATCACAAATGAAGTGGGTCCTGCAGCCCTTAAGATCTTCTCATATTGTATTTGAGTGAGTGAGTGAGTGAGTTAAGATTTTTAGTCACATCGGCAATATTTCAGCCATATCGTGACTAAAGCAAGTTATAAATATATCATCATATTGTATTTGAATGATTAGACCCCTAAATCTGTAACCCAATGTTGAATTAGGTATCTATGATGAAATTTCCTCTATTTCAGTATTCAAAATTCATGAGGATTTTGGGATAGAGTTAATACCAATTTACCATGGACACTCTTAAAGTTCTTCAGTCTTCCCAGGCTGACAAGCTGAAAGAAGACAAAAAGGCATGTATTGAAATAAGCACAGCATTTTCATCTTTATTATTAATTTAGTAAAATATTTTGTTTGGGTTTGAGATAAATTATCAGAGACTCTATTTACCTCTGCATGTGGGAAGGGGGGCTCAGGCAAATACACTTTAGACTGCTTGGATTGGGACAACCTGAAAACACACATGAAAATCTTAATATGAATCTTCATAAAGAAATTTACATAAATCAGAATGTTTATTATTTAACCAAAATATCAAACACAAAAACTGCAAATTCCCACTCTCTTCATATCATATAATGCAGAAACCCAAACGTGCCTCTCTGCTAAAGGGTTGCTCAGAATTACCTCCCCTAGACCACTCACTTAAATCTCATGGTGAAGTTGCTAGAAACTCTCAAATTGGGGGAGGAAGTGCTGGCCTTAAATTTGTCACATCAGGACATGACTATTTATACAAATTATTTCAAAATATTCCAACATGTTGCAACCATATGGTAACAACTTCTTAGTTGTCTGTTAGTCCAGCAAATAACCAGCGAAAAACTGAACTTAGCCTCCAAAGGATTCATTATCTTTTTGCGACAATAGGCTGTAAACAAATCCTATTTAGAGTTATAATCCACCCCAGGTAAATTACAAGGCATTCACTACCATCACTGACACCTTAAAGAAAAAAACTATTCATTTGTGTCCTTTGTAAAGGGCAGAGTCAATGCCAGTGGAACTGGATGTGAGTGAGTGAGTGTGTTCGAACCCGGGTCTTCAGCATGACGAGCGAACGCTATAACCACTAGGCTACCCCACCGCCTGGTATTGGATGTATCTGTATGGAGTGGACTAATGGGGCATACCTATTTTGTAGAACTCAAAGAAACTTACCACTCTGCGAATATGTTGGAGTATGCCAGTGTGCTGTCGGAGACTGGAGACAGGAAGTAGAGAGGCACGTGGGCGAGGCCACACTGGTCCATGTGACCTGACAGACACTCGAACAGGTCATAGGTCACGCCTGATGGGTAGCACGGGACAAGTACATTACCCCCATTTTTTATCGTCACAGCTGAAAATATATGACAGAAATGTTGAACATCAATTAGCATGTGAAACTAAGAAAGATGTAATTTTCTGAATAAAATTGATATTTTATACTTATCCTGACTCATGCTCTTTTGCTTGTCTTCTTCTTCTTGCGAACACAGTGGAACACTTGTATCTCCCAATTGAAGCTCCCTTCAATGTAAAATCACTAATTAGTACTCACCAAGAGTTATCTCTATCCCACTCCTTTGCGTGGGAACGAGGACGCCACTTCCCGCCACATGCCTCACTCTCTCCTTATATAGCGAGCCCAACACTTGAATTTTCAGGGAAATCCAAAGTGTTATGTGGGGAGGATGTGAGGGCTTACCTCATGAGTCAGGATAAGTATAAAATATCAATTTTATTCAGAAAATTACATATTTTTCCTTATCCTGACTCATGCTCTTTTGCTTGTAGAATCCTACGGATACGGAGGTTAGAATACAGAATACTTTGGATTTAGATAATTAGTGATTTGATAACTGTAATAACTGTAATAACCCCTATGGGAACTTCATAAAGGCACTGAATTGATAAATTCCTGCTGTTAAACTTATCAGCTGCCATATATGGGTTACTACAATATATAGATATTATGATAAACATAAATAAAGTATTTACAACATGAATACTATGCTTAAGACTAAGATAGACTTAAGCTTGATAATATAATAGCATAAACTTCATAGAGTTGTTAGCTAATGATATTATTATGATATAATAAACATAGTACTGAGCTTAAGATTGTGATTGAACTTAAGCTAAAATATATAATAGCATAAACTTCATGGAGTTATTAGCTATATAGTACTGTTGTGAAATAAGCAGTAAAAATCTCCATGAAGATTGACTTATCTTCTCGAGGGACTGTCAACTGCTGTCTTATCTTCTCCGAGGACCATGGGACCATGGGAAAATGGTGAATACCTGAGACGTCCTCGGTGGTGATATCTCTCAGATAGTGGTTGGCAAACACCATATCGGATCTCCAGAAGCAGCCCTCCATGATGGTATTCAAAGAGCAGTTGCCATGTAGAGCAAGTGTTGAAGCTAACGCTCTAATTTCATGTGGATTAGATGCTCTTAGAGGGTCGAGTCCTGCAGCCTTGTAGGCACGTAGTATGACAGTCCTGATCCATATCGAGATAGTTGTACGTGAGACTTCAGTTTGTGTAGCTGTCGATAGAGGGATGAATAATCGTTTGAGTTTATGTCGCCTTGTGTTGGATCGTCGTAAATATATTTTCAGTGCTCTGACTGGGCATAATGATAGATCCAGTGTATCATGAGGTCCGAGAATTGATGAGAGAGCTGGGACGTGGAATAATCTATCTGTTTGACCTGGCAACTGGTTCTTGGCGATGAAATCCCAAAGTAGTCCCATATGCACGATGTTATGATTGTCATCAAAGCGTGTTCTCTCGTAATCTAGTGCGTGAATCTCTGACATCCTGGCTGCTGTTGCTAGGGATAACAGGAACAAAGTTTTCTGTGTCAGAAATTCGAATGATGTTGATTCCAGTGGTTCATATGCCTCACTTGTGAGGTGTTGGAGCACTATATTTAGATCCCATGCTGGAGCGCGAAACCTCTGTTTCTGATCCTCCAATCGGAATGCACGTAGTAAGGCGAGTAACTCTGGGGTCTTCGTCAGCTTGACACCCGTTCTCATAGTTATGACAGAGCTTAAAGCTGCGAGATATGTTTTTAATGTTGAGCCTTTTAGACGTTTAGTCTGACATAGGTAACATAAGTAATCAGCCACTTGTGGATGTGTAGCATTTCTAGCTGTAAATCCCTTCTTTGCAGCATAATTTTCAAAACTGTGCCACTTGTCATCGTACAAGTTGCGAGTGGAGTTGCGTAATGCAAGCGTGACTGCTTTCGCCGCTCTGGCTGAATAACCTCTCTTGTTTAGACACGCCTTAATACAGTCCATATGTGAAGTTGGAATGCTTCTGGCTTTCCATGCGCTTGTTTGGTGTGAGGATGTATTAGTAGATTCGAGCACTTTGGAAGTTGTAGTATTGGTTGTCCGATTTCTTGAATAAGAGTTGGAAACCACGTTCTCGCTGGCCAGTAGGGCGCGACCAAAATCATTTGGAGGCTCGAGTTTGCTTGATTTTCTGTAACACCTGTGGGATTAACGCTGGTGGCGGAACGCAGCGTCGCAGCGTTGAGTCCTTTCCACGATATGCTTAGTGCGTCCGTTGCCCATGCTAGTGGGTCTGGAACTGGTGATACTGAATGTTGTCAGCTGATTGTTGAAGCGAAAGTGGCAAATAGGTCTATTAGTGGAGCTCCTATTTTCTTGATAATTTGTGCGAATATCTCTGTATGGAGCATCCATTCTGTCGGCGATGGTAGGTGTGGCGAGAGAGCCGTCTGCTATTACATTCTTTGCTCCTGGAATGTGACATGCTCTGACATGTATGTTGAGATTGTCGATTAGATCGAACAATTGAAAACATAGAGTCAATAGGTTCGGGGACCTGGTTGAGCCTTGTTTGTTCACATAAAATGCCACTGTTGAATTGTCTGTGTGAATCATCAATTTGGCCTTCTTTAGTAAGTTGCTCCAATGATGTATGGCGTTTACTACTGCTTGCATTTCTAGCAAGTTTATGTGTAGTTTGCTCTCTTGTTGGCTCCATAACCCTGATGCCATCCTGTTGGCGAGGTGTGCTCCCCAACCTTGGAGCGACGCGTCTACATAGAGATGTGTTTTCAATTCGGCTCTATTAAACAGATTCCATCGCAAAACATTCGATCTCTTGGTCCACCATAGTAGGTGAGGTTTGACGTGATTCAGTAGACTGAATGGTTGAGGGTCGTCGAGATGAGAGTTGATGAGGACCTGTAACGGACGTAACTGTAGTCTGCCTCTGACTGTCATGTCTTGAGCTGACGTGAGTAGACCCAACAGGCTCTGCCATTGTCGTAGTGGTAGCGGAGAGAGTAAGGCTTGAGGGATTATCTGTTGGATCTTGATCCATCGGTCCTCCGATGCACGACGATATGATTCTCTGCTACGTGGAGAAATCGAATGCCTAGAAATTGCAGATCTTGCGTAGGTTCTAGATCCGACTTGAGTAGATTTACTAACCATCCTAACTGTGTAAGTAGCTTGATGATGAAGTTTAACTGTAGTCTGAGATGCTGTGGATCTGGATCCACTTGTATCCCGTCGTCGAGGTAGAATGCACTGCGTAGTCCTTGACGATGTAGGTAAGAGACGATAGGTTTCGTCACCCTTGTGAATAACCAGGGGGCCGATGAGATTCCGAAAGGTAGTACTTTCCATTGGTAATGCAGCCCGTCTAGTGTAAACCGAAGGTATTTCCTGGAGTCGGGATGTATTGGGATGTGTAGATATGCGTCTTGCAGATCTATGCTGGCCATGTAGTCTCTGGGACGAATTAAGTGCCATAGTTGTGGTAAGTGTATCATGCGAAACGCTTGCGGTTTGCGTAGATAGTCTCTGTAGAACGTGCTCATATTGTAGATGAGACGAAACTTTTCTTTGGAATTTTTCTTGGGCACTAGGAAAACTGGGGAGTAGAAGCCTGGTTCGATGTTTACTTGGTCCAGTACTTCTATGGCCTGCTTGGTTAGGAGTGTTGATACCGCTTCTCTTAACTTTGGTAGTTGTAGAGCCTGGAAGTCGAACCTAGGAGAGATGACTGACAGCGGAGGCGTGGCCTGTAGTTGTATCTGATATCCGTGCTGTAGGATGTTGGAGACATATGGATCCTCTAGGAATCCCCAGTTTTCTCAGTGCAGTTGAAGGCGTCCACCCACTTGTGATGGTTGTACTGGAACGGCTGGGGGTAGAAGACTCCAGTCGTTCCGAACCTGTCCTTCATCGTTTATAATTGCGGGAGCCTCTGGATGACCTGCCTCTTCCCGATGCTCCTCTGTAATTGCCGTATGGGCGGCGAAAAGACTCTTTCACTCCTCTTACACTAGCCATCTTCCTGTTCCGTGCTCTGTGTAGACCGGAGAACTTCGATTTGCCTGAGTACCTCTGCGAAGTTTGTCTGATGACGCTTGCTAGCGTATCCATAGACTTTATCATGAGTACCTCTCTTGAGTCTTTAGAGACTTCTTTAGAGACTTTGTCTATGTTACCATCGAAGATGGACGGTGAAGACCACGGGGCTGTGTAGAGTGGTGCGGTGAAGTGATCACCCCAATTACAGGTGGCGAGGAGACCTTGACGACGAGCCATAGTAGTAGCTGCGGATAGTGCTGTTAAGTGATCCGTAAGGAACTGCTGGTCCTTCTTCTGCATGAGGAGGGCCGAGTAAATCATTCTATCATCCTCAGATGTAGAGTCTCTGAACTTCTTGAGGAGAGTTTCGTTAACTGTTCTTGATCTGTTCAGACCAAAAAACATCCTCCTTGATATGGTTTCCATCTGGGCTAGCTTGCGGTCATCTATTCTGTAAGTCTTGGACTTGGCATCGCTGATCATCTTATAGTTATCATCGATATCTTGTGCCTTGTAAAAAGAGTCCATGTTGTGACCTGCAAACTTGTTAGCGTTGAAATGCGGCACATGAGGTGTCTGTGATTTCGTGGCTTTACTAAAGGCTGTATCCAGATTAGCTGGCACCACTGCTATCGGGTCAATCGGGGGTAAGGTGATTGTGTCAGCATCGTCTTCCTTCATAAGATATGTGTGGGCTGAGTTCTCGTTCTTAGACGGGGAGGAAAGTTCCGGACTATTCACCATCCAATATCTTATTTCTGCGTCGGAAAAATACGATACCATCTTCATCTTCAGACATCGGGTCACAGATAATGTGTTGATGCTCCTCCGATAGTGACTGAGGTGGAGTCCTTGATGATCTGTACGAGGATCGACGAGGTGATCGATGAGGCGATCGATATGGAGATCGGCGAGCAGAATAACGTAGTGAACAGACTGACGAGTGGCGTCTATAAGGTGACCTTCGCGGAGACTTCCTTGGCGAA